CTCCCCCTCCCTCCTCCCCAGCCACGGCGGCGCGGCGGCCGCGCAAAGTGTTTCGCGCTCGCATATCCCTCGCTCTTCTTCGCCGGCTTATCAGATTACAGGACGGGCGTGCGTATCCACTCCACGACAGCTCCTCCATCAGTACTGAGTGTGTGTTGGGTAACCGTATGGCGTCGCATCGTGGACCGCCGGTGGTTGGAGGGGGGGGGGGGCTGCTTCCCGGAATAAAGCGCAGGGAACGTGAAGCAGGCTTGTTAGTTTGCGAACGCATGCGACAGTCGTTCGTTTTCTTTTGCATTCTTTGTGATCCCTTTCTCATCCCACCGTATGCCAGTTTTCTCCATGGAGTAAGTATACTTACTCCATGGTTTTCTCTCTGTGTCAGGAGTTGACCGCATGCCAAACAACACTCGTTTGAGGCCGACGTCATGAGCGCACCGGCGCAACGTCCACTTTTGACCGCTTCACTCGGTCCGAGCTCGCGGGCCCGACTGCAGCAGCGGGGTCGGCTGCCATCAACGGCTGTGTAGTCGCCATGAAAAACCCCTCACTGGCCCCAGCGCGCTGGACGGGTTTGCAGGGCGCCTGGAACTGGTAAAAAAAAAACGTCCAAACAAGGACATTGCGCGGCTGTTCCGCGTCCAAATACAGAAAAAAGAGCAGACAAACATCGCGTGTGCAGCTGCTGAACGAACGCGCAGAGGGCAGACGCGGTACCCCCCCGGGCTGGCCTGCACTACTAGGGGGGGGGGGGGGGGGGGGGGGGGGGGGGGGGGGGGGTAGCAGTCGAGTCCAACAGAGCGAGAGCGCGCGCGCGGGGGAAAAAAACAAACACTTAATCAATTCGAGCAACGGCGGACTGACATGTTTATTGCTGAAATTAATTTACCGTTCTAATACCTCTTCCTCGCCTTGCCTGCTCGCCTCTCTCTCCCTCTCTTCCTCTCTCCCTCTCTCCCTCTCTCCCTCTCCCCCCCCCCCCCCCACCCTCTCTCCTCTCCGCATCTGCTCTCTCTCTTACTCTCTGCCCTCTACTCTTGCTCCCCACCCCAGACTCATCAGTCTATGTCTCCACTCCCACGCTTACAATGACGACTTTTCCTCTTTATTGCGCAGTACTCGTTAAACGAATCCCTCACAGCTTATTGTAATTTTTTTTTCCAACGGAATTAAGTCTTCTCTGCTTTTTTAAAAATCTGGGTTAAACAAGACTTAGTTATTGTTTTTTTCTTTTGTGTAAAGCCATTGGTTGCATTCTACTAAACCTTTGCCTTGCAATAATAAAAGCAAACACCCGAAAGAAAAGTGCAGCTTGACAACAGCCGAACCTGCTGCGGGCGGAGTACACATGTTTATTTGTCCTCGTTACTCCGTCACTTGTTTTTTTCTTTCGTTTCTTTTCGTTGTCGGGACAAGAGGAAAGCCACAGTGAGCCACACAAAGTGGGGCAGGTCGGCGCGGCGGCCGGCGGCACTAACAGCGCGGAGCACGGCGGCGCACCCCTCGTTGTAAAAGGGTGCTTGCTCCGTGCGGGGCCGCGGCCAAGGAAGCTCCGCTGCTGTGCGGCGGAGTGAATTAGTTTGGGTCATGTCTTTATTCGCCATAAACTGCGTTCAAGACGCAGTAAAAAGCTGTATGATCCGCGTCTGCCGGCCGGCGCGGCGGCGGCGAGCCGATGCGATGGTGTAGTTGTCTGCCCCCCTCCCCCTCCTACCTCTCCGCGCACCGGCAGCGGCGTGATGAGGCCATCACGAAGGCACCCCGAGACAAGGAGTACCGGGTGTTGCATAAAAGACACAGGTGCGGGCGGGTTTGCCTACCCAAGGGGCTATGGCGCCTTACGGGCAGAGCGGGTAGGCAAACCCGCT